ACTTCAACAACTTACAAAATAAAGTGCTTGATGACTGGAATGGGGAACTGAATGAAAATGAGTTCCAGGGCACTCAACCTTTTGACAAATTAAATCTCAGGCGAAAAGTTTGCACAATTCGTGTCTCTGCACCGAGGGATTCAACTATGCATAGACAATAAACCAACCATAATTGTCAGTTGTAAAATACAATAATTACTGCCGTAGGAGCAGACTATTAACCTAGCACGACATGATTGGAAAACACTCCGGCAATGCTAACGTTGTTAGCCTCTTCGAACTGTGCATGTTCAGCTGGATGGTAGTCTCGGTCATGATTGAGGTTTGTGGTTAAAAAAAAAAAAAAAAATAAAGTACTTGCATGCTAACGACATGTTAGCTCCATCATGTGAGAGCACAAAATTATAACTGAATGATAACTGTCTGTTTCTGATCATTGGCTGGTCGACCTATCTATATAGACATTTATAGACTGTAGTGTAGTATTACAGATTCTAATGACAGAAATACACTGTATGATGGAAGGATACATTACTTTAAATGTCTTGTTTGTTGGACCAAAGTTCTAACCGCCAGAGGGGTTCTGTGTAAAAGCGGGGGTACACTAACAAACACGTGTGTGTTCTTACTTTACCATATATGTTGGAAGGATTCATTACTTTAAATGTTTTGTTTGTTGGCCCAAAGTTCTAACCGCCAGAGGGGTTCTGTGTAAAAGCGGGGGTACACTAACAAACACGTGTGTGTTCTTACTGCGGTCGGGGCCGTGGGCGAGCTGGAGCTGCTGGGCCAAGAGTGCAGGGACTCGCTGCTCTGTATGTCCCAGATTGAAGAGGACACGGGGCTGAACTCGGACCACTTCTGCTGAGGCTCCGGCGACTTGGGGAGATTCATCTCAGTGAAAACTAAACAGACATGACACCATTGGCGATAATTGCTGCGGCTCCACCTCAGAACGTCACACCAGTTACACTGCATTCTTTCTCTTGGTTCCAGAGAACTGACGGATGCACAGCTTACCTCCTGTCAAGTTGAAGGAGTTGTTGGGTCCAAAAGCTGAGAAGGAGTTGGCCGACTGGTAGTTTTGACCGCTGGTGTTGTCAATGGGGCTCCACAGTCCGGGACTGTTGGAGGGATGGGTGGGAGGTGGGGGGTACAACCACAGACTCATGAAGTTCACAACCTACTGTTTTTTTGGGCCCCAATCACCGGGGGGCCACAGCAGCAATACAGTTCCCCTCAAAGAACCGGTTATAACTGTAGGACTGTATAGCTGTAACTGCTCCATAATGTATAAATACATATTTCTGAAATTGATTATTACTCATTCAAATGACAAATATTGTACATTGCTCTGTGTAATAGAAAAAAGAAACATTAATCAAGCATGGGCGTTATTTTATTTTAAGGCAATTAAACACATTTCAAGCTCCTTCAGGCCACACAAAGTGACCTGGCGGACCACATTTGGCCCCCGGGCCTTGAGTTTGACACGTGTCTCACACTGTCTTTTCCTCTTACCTGTCAGAGCTGTCACTTTCCACCGACGTCATGTGGGCCAGACTCTTGACTTGGTTGTCAGGTTTACCTGCACCAGAGCCACCTGATGATGCAGAAGAGGATTGGGATTCAAAAATGAATCGAACCACTGGCACTACTACAGGAAAAACTGACACAAGTCCAAGCCTGCAGACAATTTACGATCACACGGCAGTGGTGATGTCATCACTGAAAGAACATGAACATGAAGCAACAACCCGGTAATGTATTGTTTACAGACCTACAAATGTGAAGTAATCAATTTGCTGACACAGTGCAGTTACAGCAGCAAAAGGGATTTTGTAATAACAAGAAAGATTGAAATGTGGTTGTCAGACAGTTACCTGGGCTTTTGTCATAACCAGCAGCCACAGCAGCAAATGTAAGGTTGACGTTTTTGCCTGGGAGCGGAGCAGCGAGAGCCACTTTGTTTCCTGGAGCCTTCTTCTGGTGTCCCTCGCTGCAGAGATGCAAGAGTAGCACAAGACAATGGTATTCCAATTTGTTATTTAGACAAAACTGTCAAAAACTATAATAATTTGAGGGGGCAGGGGCAATGGTTCTATCTACACCAGGGGTCACCTGGTAGCCCCCGTGGACTACTGGTGCCCGTGGGGCATGTTATATAAAAATAAAACTAGTCAACAAGAGGGTCACAAATTGTACTGTTACTTTTTGAATCAGTTACAGTGATATTCAAAAGGGTTGCAATGACGGTGGTAGGAAGAGAGTCTGCTATTGTGT